CTTGTAGCCTATGGTAGCCTTAAATTTGCTATATAACTGTGCTAGCCTTGAACTCCTGATCCTCCTGTCTCTGCCTTCCAAGCACTTGGAGTTACAGACATGTATTTATCATTTTCAGGCAAATTTGTCATTTTAAAGGTAATGTTTTAATACAGACTTAGTCAAGATACATTGAAATCTAGTTTGGGGTTTTTTGTTTTGTTTGGGTTTTGCTTTTTATTTTTTATTTTTTTATTTTTTTTGGAGGGTTTGTTGTTGTTTGTTTTTTCAAGACAGGGTTTCTCTGTAGCTTTTTAGAGCCTGTCCTGGAACTAACTCTTGTAGACCAGGCTGGCCTCGAACTCAGAGATCCGCCTGCCCCTGCCTCCCCCCCCCCCCCCCCCCCCCCCCCCCCCCCCCCCCCCCCCCCCCCCCCCCCCCCCCCCCCCCCCCGTGCTGGTATTAAAGGCATGCACCACCACCGCCTGACTGGGTTGTTGTTTTTTAAGTACTTGTTGAATTAATTCATGTGCCATAAAACTCAGCTATTCATAAGGTACAGTTGTGTGTGGCTTTTACATTTTCATAGAATTATGTGCCTGTCGCTACAGCTTAAGTCTAGAATATACTTCCATTATCCTCCAAAATGGAGTTGAGTTACACTCAACTCCTTGTTTTTCCTCTTTCATTTCTTTCACTGGGCATATTTGCAAGAATCATCTAGGTAAGTGTGTGTGTGTGTGTGTGTGTGTCTGTAGATCCCATGACCTCAATGCCAGGTGAGGATTTGACCCCTGAGCTGTACATGAAATCTTAATTTTTCATTTTTGTGGTTGAAAATTTTTCATTTGTATAGGTGTTCCAAATTGTCTTTTTTCCATTTATTTTCTGGTAGGCACTGTCTCTAGCTGGGTATCTGGTGATTTCTAACATCCTATTTTCCAACAGGCAATGCAGGATTTGTTATAAGCAATAAACTCTGAGGTTCTGTTTACTTTTCCATCGTAACAAACTCATGAATGTTGCTCTCCATTAGTGGCCTGCAGACCTTTTGTGGTAGAATGATTTGTTTGTTTTGGTTTTAATTGGATTTTTGATCTCCAAGTTTATGTTTAAATCTCATTTTATTTTATTTTTTTTAGTAAAGGTTTATTTGACCAAATTAAGTAGTAAATAGTTCTGTTTTTCCAATTATGTCACAAATCAAACCAGTACAGATTACGTTCCAGATGTTTTTAATAAGATACATCCACATCATTCAGCTCACATTTTTAACATGTGATCCAGAGGTTTATAGTATGTCCTAATTTGTACACCATCATCACAATTTGAGAACTTTTTTTTACCACTAAAACACTTCACTTATTATCCATTTCTCCTCCTTGTCTCCACTTACCGCACTAGCCCTAGGCAACCACTAAGATTATGCACTTTCTGTGCATAGGTTTGCCTATCCTGGGTGTCTCAAATAAACATTCAGTCTATGTGTATATGATCTTTTATGAATGACCTCTTTAATTTTGTGCGTGTGTGTCTACACCGTGGCAAGCATGTGGAGGTCAGAAGACAGCTCACTGGCATTGGCTTTCTTCTTCCACATGTGGGTCCTGGGGATCAAACTTGGGTCATCAGATTTGGCAACAAATGTTTTACCCAATAAGCCATCTCTATCCCCTTGGCTACTTTTTAACAGATTATTTTTAAGATTTGTTGCTGGAGGGGTGGGAGAGATGGCTCAGCTGTTAAGAATACTTGCTGGTATTTCAGAGGACCTGGGTTCAATTCCCAGCATGCACATGGTGGCTTACAACTGTGTGTAACTCCAGTGCCTGGGGATCTGACATCTTTACACCAATGTACATAGAGTGAAATAAATTATTATTTTTTTTTAAAAAAAAGATTTGTTGCTGAAAAAAATTCTCCATTGTGTTGTTTTAGTGCCTTCTGAAAACAACCTAAGCTGAGGGGCAATTGAGAAAAAGGAAAGAGGCATTCAGATATTTGGAGCTCTCTCTCTCTCTCTTCTCAAGATAGGGTTTCTCTGTAGCTTTGGAGCCTGTCCTGGAACTAACTCTTGTAGACCAAGCTGGCCTTGAACTCACAGAGATCCGCCTGCCTCTGCCTCCTGTGTGCTGGGGTTAAAGGCATGCACTACCTACCACTGCCCAGCTGGAAGAACTTCTCATTTAAGGAGTAAGCAAAGGAAGAAAAGTCAGAGGTGTATGGTTGTTGTAGGGAAAGAGGGCCCGCTGTTTTTTCTGGCTGCCCTGCTAACTTAGCCATGAAATAACCACACAGAAACTGTATTAATTAAATCATTGCTTGGCCCATTATCTCTCGCCTCTTATTGGCTAACTGTCACATCTTGATTTAACCCATTTCTATTAATCTGTATATTGTCACATGGCAGTGGCTTACTGGAAAAGATTTGGCATGTCTGACCCTGGTGCTGCTCCCTGACTCTGCTTACTTTTCTCCTCTAGCTTTGCTTAGAATTCCCACCTTGCTCTATTCTGCCCTATCATAGGCCCAAAGCAGCTTCTTTAATAACCAATAGTAACAAAACACATTCACAGCATACAGATAGGAATCTCATACCATATGATGTTGGTTGTTTACTCTTTTACTCTTAGCTCTTTTGGGGGTCCATTACCCAGCTCCCAAATAAATACATACAAGCCGGGTGATGGTGGCGCACGCTTCTAATCCCAGCACTCGGGAAGCAGAGGCAGGTGGATCTCTGTGAGTTCAAGACCAGCCTGGTCTACAGAGCTAGTTCCAGGACAGGCTCCAAAGCCACAGAGAAACCCTGTCTCGAAAAACCAAAAAAAAAAAAAAAAAAAAAAAAAATACAAAAGCCTTTTCTTAATTATGAATGCCCAGCCTTAGCTTGGCTTATTTCTAACCAGCTTTCCTAACTTATTCCGACTACCTTTGCCTCTGGACCATTCCCTTTTCTTACTTCTGTAAGATGCCCCTAGCATCTTCCCCTCCTTACTCTCGTGTTCCTTCCTCGCTGCTCTCTAGATTTCTTCTACTTATCCTCTCTGCCTGCCAGCCTCGCCTGTCCTTTCTCCTGCCTCACTGTTGGCCATTCAGCTCTTTATTTTAGACTATCAGGTGTTTTAGACAGGCAAAGAATCACAGCTTCACAGAATTCAACAAATACAGCATAAACAAAAGCAACACACTTTAAAATAATATTCTACAACAGGTGTAGAGGGAAGATGTGAGTAGAGCGGATGGCCTGCCCACAGCGTGGAACCTCAGAAATCTGCAGGACCACCATTACACAAGTACTCTGAATACCACTGCCTGCTGCATACACACGTGGTGGGAGGAGAGAACCTAACCCGCACCTTTGCACATATTCCATAGACACTTCCCATAATTAATAAATACATAAAGTTTTGAGCAATGAGAAATAAAACATAGCAGCAAATATTTGATAGAATGATGGCAGTAGAAGAAGGAGAGGGCTGAGCATTAAAATGGGACATGTGACAGGATGGAACCAGATCTTCTGAGAAACCTGCCACGGGAGGGAGAGAATATAGGTCAGGAGAGGCTGTCGTGCCCTTGGAATGTGGTCCTCAGACAGGAGAGTCTAGGAGTACAGAAGATATTCAGAGAATGAGCTAAGGAAACGTGAAGGAGCAGATGGGAGCCAAGAGCAGTCACCTGGAGGAGGAGCGTGCATGTCAGAGTCCCTGCGCTTGCGGCCCAGAACAAAAGCAGAGTGGTCCATGTTCTCTCTGTGTATCTATTTAGAGCATGTGCATGTGCACTACCCCTTTTATCTTTTTAAGTATTTAAGTTACACTTATTGTATAATTTTGCTTAATCATTTAACCGTTTCTGCTGTTTTGTTTTTGACGCCATCTATTTTGACATTTCTGCTTTTAAAAAGAAACTGTGTGTGTGTTGTATGCATACGGATGCAAGTATATGTGCTAATGTGTGCATTAGCCAGAGGTCAGCGTCTCGTGTCTTTCTTTCCACCATAAATGAGACAGGTTGTCTTGATGAACTTGGAATTTACCCATTAGACTAGACTGATCGCTCATTACCTGGCTAGCCAGGAGAATTCCTGGGGTCCTCCTGTCTTCACCTGCCAATGGCGAGATTGCTGAAGCATGCCGCTGGGCGGAGCTTTCTGTGTGGTGCTAGGGACCCAGATCAGTCCTCATGATTGCATAGCAAACCCTTTACTCACGGAGCCGTCTCCCTTGACCCCACTGGGTTCAGTCCACATCGTCTTTGAGACTGTACTCTTGGTTTGTCTTTTCTTCTTATCTGCAGTCCAGATCGCTATCATCTAATCTGTAGATGTATCTTCTTCTTTATCACCATCTTTTTAATTCATTAAGTCTTAATCTAATGTCCATTCCAGTGTTCCATTATGTCACCTGCCGGGGATAATGGTCTGTATAAGACAGCTTGTTACTAAGGTTTTCATGGTAGAAAAAAATCAGTATTTAATATGTGAAGATGCTGCCTTCATTTCAGCTGCTGTAACAGTGTCATAGACTGTGATTCTGACAAGAGAAATTTATTTCTTGTGCTTCTGGGGTCCCTCTCCCTGCTTTGTACTTTGTGGTATTTCCATTGGAGCCATAGGAAGGGAAGGGCCAGTGAGGTCTCTGTTTGGGTGAGTGTTTTGTTCTTTTTTTTTTTTTCTTTAAGATTTATTTTACTCTGTGTATGCACACATCCTTGTGTCTGTGGAGGCCAGAAGAAAATGTTGAATCCATTGGAACTGGAGTTCAGATGTTTCTGAGATTTCAAATTCCAGTCCTCTGATAGAACAGTAACTGCTTCTAGCTCTCCAGCCCCTCTGTTTTTATAAGGACCTAATCTCCTTGGTGACTCTACCCTCCCCACCTGATTACCTCCCTAAGGCCCCACCTCCTAATGCCATGGCATTGGGGGAAGTACTTTGGGTGAGAAACATTCAGTTATGACGGTGGGGGCAGCTGTATTTTCTCATGATACTTAAGTGTTATGTTTGGGTCTTTCAGGTTCAGCATGAGCTTTAACAGACACAATCTGAAGTACTATGTGTTACCAAAGAAGCCCAAAAAGGTAGCGTTTGATTGCCTAGAATGGATCAGAAAGCATCACCCATGTGAGTACAGTCAGGTAATTACTTATGTCTAAAAGTCTAGATTTTAAGTCTTTTATATATATACTGAACTACAATAGAATATATAAACTTGCATATTAAACATTTCTTCTTGCATTGTGATAGCACCAACTTGCTATTTGTGGGGAATATTATAATTTTGAAATCTCATTTGGTTCCATAACAATAAACCTTAGCAAAAAATATATTAAGTATGCCTCCTACACACCTACATTATAATTCTTGGTTTCAGTGTCTTTTTCTCTGGTGTCTTTCAGTGTATGAATAACACAGCCCTTTGTTTTAGTGTCTTCTCCCAAGTGTGTTTGCCTTTGAGTTATGTTAAGTAAAATGAGATTCTGATGTTCATAACCATTTTCCATGTAACACATTTTCAACATCTTGATCATTTCCCCATGACTTTGTAAACTTAGGAAGAACTTTTAATAGTTATAGTGTGTTTATTTCATAATTCTTTATCTTAATTATCCCCATATGTTTCCTATTGAGCTTTCATTCCAAAACTTTTGGCCTAAGTCCTTGTACCATTTTACTTCCTAGGTTAGCTTCCTAGAAGGAAACTGAGTCAAAGGGTGTTTATCAGGCTCTTGATAATTGTGCCATGTTTCTACAAAATTCCTATCAGGGCAGCTCCCATTGTTGAGTTGGTGCAGGACAGCCCAGGATTAGTCCAGGTTGCCTTGCAGGAACAGGGTTACAAGCTCAGTCTTATTTTTTTTTAATATTTATTTATTTATTTATTATGTATACAATATTCTGTCTGTGTGTATGCCTGCAGGCCATAAGAGGGCACCAGACCTTGTTACAGATGGTTGTGAGCCACCATGTGGTTGCTGGGAATTGAACTCAGGACCTTTGGAAGAGCAGGCAATGCTCTTAACCTCTGAGCCATTTCTCCAGCCCACAAGCTCAGTCTTATTTCCTGTTTTTATGAATCCCTTGCTTGTGCTTTTCTGTGTGACACAGCAAAGCTCTGTGTTCAGGGCCCTGTGTTTTAAGACCACGGTGTAGATGTATTCTTAAGTGAAAAGCCCTGCTCCCTCAACTCTCTCTGGCTTCTTTGGCAGATGACTCGGGGATAATTTACTGCCTCTCCAGGAGGGAGTGCGACACAATGGCGGACACCTTACAGAGAGATGGTCTGGCTGCTCTGGCTTACCATGCGGGCCTCAGTGATTCTGCCAGGGACGAGGTGCAGAACAAGTGGATCAACCAGGATGGCTGCCAGGTGATGCTTGCAGAAGTCAGCAAACCCTCCATGGTGGATCAATAGCTTTGTCTGTAGATAATACAGTTTCTGCTTTGTGTTTTGAAACAGGTTCTTGCTATGTCATTGAGACCAGCCTTGAACTCAGGGCAATTCTCCTGCCTCCACCTCTTACCTAGCTTTGTTTTTTGTTTGTTTTATAAGGGGTGTGTGGTGTGTGTGTGTGCTACATGTTGTGTGAAGGTCAGAGACAACTTTTAGGAGACTGTTCTTTCCTCCCACAGTGTGGGACCCAGGTATGAACTTACATCTCCAGGCTTGGCGGCTCTGAGCTTGTTTTTGTCCTAAAGGTAATAAACATCAGAGTAAGACTGACAGTGAATGTGTGCTGCAGTGAATACCTAGAGGATTTATGGAGAAAGTGAGGCTGACCAAAGGAAGAGGACTTTCAGAAAGAGTTGGCATCGTTTGGCTTCTTGGTGACCTGTACCATGTGCTTCACAGCCGTGTACTCAGCTAACACTGAGAGGGGCACCTCACAGAAGCTGCAGGTCACTGTGGTGGAGCTGGGGCCAGCACCTCTCACGCACACAGCCTTTTGCCGGCTTTCCTTCATTAGAGGCCACAGTAAACTTTCTCTTCCGGGGACATTTCCTTTTAATGGATGAGTAACCTTGAGTACATCCCGTGCTGGTAATATCCTGATTTGCTGACCCTGTGCGTGTGGTTTGTAGTTCCTCTCAGTCATAACGGCAAAATCATGTCATGAGCCTTAGTATGACTGCTGGATATTTCTCTCACTTTTTAAATGCTGTTCTTGCAATAGCAAGTCATTTTTTGAATGCTAAAAAAAGACAGCCTTATTTGTATAATGTAATTTTGCCTGAAAATACAATATTGGCCTTGGTCAAATAACTCGCAGATTTTCAGCAAAATAGATATCTTTTAAGATTTATTTTCTGTTTTTAACTGTATATATGGGTGGGGGTGGGGGACAGAATGTGCACATGTGAATGCAGGTGCTTCAGTCCAGAAGAAGTGCTGGATTTCCCTGGAGCTAGAGTTACAAGGGTCATAGTGCTGCTTGCAAAGCCCGGCTTATTTTGTTTTAAAACCTGTGTGCATGAGTGCAGGTAACCACAAAAGCCAGAAGAGGGTGTTGGAGCTCTTGGGGTTTCTAGTCAATTGTGAGCTGCTCAGGATGGGTGCTGGAAACTGAGCTCTGGTTCTCTGCAAGCGCAGGTGATAATCTTTCACAACTGAACCGTCTCTCTAGATCTTGAAATAGATGCTCTTGAAAACAATTTTGTCACATTCCTAAATATTAACTATTGCCTAGCTTCCGCTAAATAATCTGTATGGGCCAAAGAAGACAATCCCTGGCCTTTCTGTTTTGTTTTTATAGGTTTTGTTGTTTTGTTTTGTTTTTGTATAAGCAGCTTAAGGCTCTTATCTAAGTTAAATTAGATTAAAACAGTTAAAATTTCATAAGCTTTTACTTTGAAATCCCCTGTTGAAAAGTAAGATAGTGTATGATCACGTGGCACCATGTGGAAGGCTGATATAAGCACCAGAGTAGACGAGACTGTCACTGTTCCTAACTCACGGGAAGACTACCCAGGAGCTCAGCACATTGCTTATGTACCTTTACTTGGATGTCATGGCTATGTTAGCAGCACCCACCACATAACCTTTACAGAAACAGAGGGCAAACAGTTGGCACACAAAGGGCTGATTGCAGTTTGTTCTGAGTCCTTCAGATGGTAATACCAAGTCACACAGGAAGATTCTGGTACCCTAAACACTCTTTACCTTCTTGGATCTGAGTAGAGTTGCAACTTATCAATATGAAAATCTCACCTTGCTCATGGTAAATACCAATGAGTCTAATAGGCTTTTATTTTCATACCAGGTTATCTGTGCAACAATTGCATTTGGAATGGGAATTGACAAACCTGACGTGCGATTTGTGATTCATGCATCTCTCCCTAAATCTGTGGAGGGTTACTACCAAGAGTCCGGGCGAGCTGGAAGAGATGGGGAAATATCTCACTGCGTGCTTTTCTACACCTACCACGATGTAACTAGACTGAAGAGACTTATAATGAGTAAGCCATGCACCTCTGCCCGTGTTACAGTGTTTGGATCCTATTTTCATTAAATAGTCATAGAAAGATAAAGGCTTTTTTTTAAAAGATTTGTTAATTTATTATGTATGTATCCCTGCATGACAGAAGAGGGAACCAGATCTCATTACAGATGGTTGTGAGCCACCATGTGGTTGCTGGGAATTGAACTCAGGACCTTTGGAAGAGCAGTCAATGCTCTTACCCACTGAACCATCTCTCCAGCCCAAGATAAAGGCTTTTAATACATATTGTAATGTTTATTTTAGCTCATTATGAAGGTACTGCATACTTATTTGGTAAAGTCAGGTGACACTGGCAAGCACAAAGCAGAGCATTTCCAGACCAGGCAGGCTGAGCCTCCAGGTAGTGACCTCTTTTATACCCTCCTAGACCCAACACCATTTCCAGAAAAAAAAAAAAAAAAGAGAGAAAATAATGAATTCTTGTACAGTGACCCAGTTTAAGGGTTAGTTGGGGGAAAGCCAAGTATAGAAGCATATGGCTGGGTCTCACTGGGGAAGCTGAGGTAGGATTGTTGTTTGACCTAGGAGTTGAATACGAGGTTGGTCTGTCTCAGAAGAAGCAAGCAGAAGGAAAGAAGGGGCAATAGAAGCAACCCCTGTGTAGCAGCCCTCTTCAGTTTGTGCCTTTTCCATTAGAGGCTGGCAGCATCTTGTATTTGGTATTCCCCTTTCCCAGATGCATGTGTTTTCAAATATAAATGGTGGTCTACAAGATGTCTCAATGGTTAGATGTTTGCCACCAAGCTTGGTAACCTGGGTTCAGTTCCCCAAAAAATTGTCCTCTGGCTTTCACACATATTGAGCTAGCACATGTACATACATGCACATATTTGTATGCATGTGTGCATTTACACGCATAAATGAATGTCATTTTAAAAATAAATGTAATTAGACTCACGTAGGTATATTGTATAATTGTTCCAATTACATAGTCTTGTTATTTGGGGTTTACTAAAGCAATCTCCTTAATAGATATTTAAGTTATTTTGTACTGTTATCACCATATAGTGCTGGACAGTCTTGTACAGAGGTCTTTCAGCATTTGTAGAATTCTGTATAGAGGATAAATTTCAACTGTCTTAGGTCAAATGAACCCATATTTTATAATTAGTATTTGTGTACCTTTTTTTCCTGTTGAAGTCGTTAACTATGTTTTGTAATCCTACTCCTTTGTTTTTGAGGCTGCTGTCATTTACTCTGGCACAGATACTGAGAGCATGGGAAATGGCACTGGCTACCCTGGGACTCTGTCACCTTTATTACCTTTCTTATTCATGAGAACTGGCTTTGGACGTACAGTTGCTCCTGTGAAAAGAAGTGAGCCACAAATAGGTTCATAGCTTCAGGGAACAGACTGGCCCTGATGCCTGTGCACTTCACGTATGCACTTGCCGTGTTTGTTTGTTGGGTTTTTTTCTTGATTTTTCTTTTGAGATACAGTCTCATTTTGTATCCCAGCTTGGCCTAGAATTTGTGATCCCCCTGCCTCAGCCTCTTCAGTGCTGTGGTTGCAGCAGTGAGCCGCCAAGCCAGCTCTGCATGCTGTTTTCAGTGTTTTGTCGCCGCTCAGCTCATTCTGTCTTTACCACAGCGCTAGAAGAAATGAGACGCAGAGCTAGAGAGCAGTGTGCTGTTCACATTCGTGTTGCCGATTTGTGTTTTTAAACAAAACCTGGAGAAGCAGTCTTCCGTTGATGGTGGCTTGCCTGAGTTCAGCCTTATAATAGGTTTATGCTTTCAATTGAGCCATGCTTTGAGTTTTTAGTTTTGGAATGGGGAGGCTTGGGGGAGTTCTAATTTTATTTTATGTGTATGTGTAAATCCCTGAATGTATATGTGCACCACTATGTGCCTGGTACCTATGAAAATCTGAAGAGGGCACCAGAATCCCTGGAACTAGAGTTATAGCCAATTATGGCCTGCCATATAGTTGCTGAGAACCAAACCCACATCCTCTGCAAGAGAGCAAGTGCTCTTAACCACTGGGCCTTCACCCGAGCCCCTAATGCTGAGGTTTTTATGAGTTAGCAAAATACAGTCTGGTCTTCTCTTGTGGGGTGTTAGCAGCCTTAGCTTGACGTCGCCTTACAACCACAAGGGTCAATCATCAGCAGTTCACGGTCTGCTATGTTCAGTCGTTTAGGTGCATTAAGTACAGTGTCCCATGTATGATATTTTCAACTTAAAATAAGTGCATCAAGATACGACCTTTCAGAACTCTAAAACATTTGTATTGTTAAGCAAAAGTCATTTAATAAGTATTTAAATCCTGGTATCCTAGCAACCGTTTGAAAAAATAGTGCTCAAAACTGGAAGGAAAATAGTAATTTTATTCGTAAGTAACGATGCTTGCCTATTAATGGAAAATATACACCAGTGGGTTTTTTTTTTTTCATTTTAATAGATTTTCTGTGTGCGTACACATGTGTGCATGCACATGCCCGTGTGCGGTGGTAAAGGACAACTTACATGAGTTGCTTCTTTCTTTTCACCGTGTGGGTTCCAGGAATTGAGCCCAGGCATCAGGCTTAACAACAAGCACCTTTACCCTACTCAGCCATCTCACCAGCCCCATGTCTCGTTTTAACCTTGGAATCAAATAAGTTACTACGACTCCTAGTTTCTGTTTTCTGTGAGCTTGTGTAGGACATGCTAGGGGTGAAACCCAGGGCCTTGCAGGAGCTCTACCCCTGAACTACATCCCCAGTCCTTGGGGCTTTTTGTTGGGTCATGGTGGCTATTGGAGACAAGGTCTCACTATGTAGCTCTGGCTGACCTAGAACTCAACTATGCAGACCAGGCTGACCTTAAACTTACAGAAATCTGTCTGCCTCTCCCACCTGAGTGCTAGAATAAAAGGCCAGTCCTGTCTTGTTTGAGATAGCGTCTTGCTTTGTAACCTAGGTGTGTGTCACACTCAGCCCTCCTGCCTCCCCAGCTGGGGTCACAGGTGTGTACCTTCATGTTGTCACGTTTGTTTTTGTGCGCTGCTCATTTTATCACAGCGCCTTCAAAAATTCCAACTTGACGGAGCCGTGACTTCCCCATAAGTATAATATAATGCGATGTTAAATCATGAACTACTTCAGATAACTAGTTTGGGTGGCGTTCAACAGATGTAGTTATTGCTATTTCCCTTAAATTTAGGACATCCTGTCTCTGAGCTCCCTAGAGACCTTTGGATTCTTGACCACAGTTTTAGAAGCCCTAGTTTCACTAGGAGTTCAGCTATGGGACTGCCTGCTTCCTCTAGATACGCAGCTCGGCACATATCTACCTAGAGAGAAAGTGTAAAACAAATCTGTCATTGGGGATGATAAAGATGTAAAGAAAATTCAGTTTTAAAAAAGGAAAATTAAACAGTATAGGGTGAAATAGCTTATGCCAGTAATCTCAGTATTTTGGAGGCTGAGACAGGAGAATTTCAGTTTCAAGGCCATCTTGGGGTATAGTATGAGACTTTGCCTCAAGAAGAGGAAGAAGAAATCCAACATTCCCATAAAATTAAAACCATGAGACGTGAACTTCAGCATCCAGTGAGCTGCAGTATAGAAGGATGTCGTTGGCACTGTGTTGATAATGGTCTTTTTCTTATTTCGTATCTGAATCTAGCAGAGCACAGTGGCTCGTGTCTGCTGTCCTACAGAAAACTGATTTAGCAGGGATATTTAAAGCTCATCTAGCCATAGCAAGACCTTATCTCCAAAACCAAACAAAAAGTAAGTTATATGAGTCAATAAAAAAATATTACTTTTATATTCTTTGGTTTTCCACTATAAAACTTTTACATTGGGCCAGACAGTGGTGACGCACACCTTTAATTTCAACATTCAGAGGCAGAGGCAAGCAGATCTCTGAGTTTGAGGCTACCCTGGTCTACAGAATGAGCTCTGGGACAGCCTGGGCTACACAGAGAAACCATGTCTTGAAAGAAACTGGAAAAAAAAGTTTTGTTCTGTTCTTCATCTCTTTTAGTGGAAAAAGATGGAAACTCTCATACGAAGGAGACTCACTTCAATAATTTATATAGCATGGTCCATTACTGTGAAAATATAGCAGAATGCAGAAGAATACAGCTTTTGACTTACTTTGGTGAGAAAGGATTTAACCCTGATTTTTGTAAGAAATACCCAGATGTTTCTTGTGACAACTGCTGTAAAACAAAGGTAAAATATGTCATTTAAAATTACTTAATACTTGCCGAGTGGTGGTATCACAACACTTTTAATCCCACCACTCAGGACGTAGAGGCAAACAGATCTCTTAGTTCATGAATAGCTTGGTCTACAGAGTGAGTTCTAAGACAGCAAGGGCTGCAACAGAGAAACAAAAAACAAAACAAAACCTTAATAATTAAGAAAATTGCTGACTTTTTTTTTAGCTTAAAAAAAAAATAGGTCAGGTGTGGTGGTGGAACAAGGTAAGCAGATCGCTCTGAGTTTGAGCCAGTTTGGTCTACACAGTGAACTCCAGGACAACCAAGGCTACTTTGTGAAACCCAGTCTCCAAAGATAAGTAAATAAATAGTAACGTGGGCCAGGCATAGTGGAACAAGTCCTTAGGAGGCAGTATCAGAAATGTCAGGAATCCAAGGTGTCCTTACTACATAATCTGTCTGTGCCAGCCTGGGCTTCCTAAAACCTCGTTTCAAAAAGTAACAAAAAACAAAAAGGTAAGCATCAAAATAATCCAACATGGACAAGCAGGGTATTTTAAATTCAACTATAACATATTTAGAGATCTCATTCTTAAAACAGTAGTGACAATAGTATTATGTTTGAAAATTACTTGTTTAACTGTGAAAACAATGAAAAGAACGTGATGATACAATCCCAGCAGTTTAGAAACTGAGACAGGAACAAGAGAGAGTGTAAGGCCAACCTGAGCTACATAGTAAGATCATGTCTCAAAACTCAGTAAGTGCTCTACCCAAGAACTATATTCCCAAGCCTCCACCCTTTTTATTTTATACTTTAAAAGACAAGATCTTTATAGTTGTCCTAGATTGCTTTAACTGTCAACTTGGCACAATCTATAGTCAGCTGTGAAGGAAGTCTCAATTGAGGGATTGATTGCTAGGATCAGATTAGCCTGTGATGCCTACTGTGGGCAGCACCATTCCCTGGGCAGGAGAGCTAACTAAGCGTGAGCCAGCCAGCAAGCAATGTTCTTCCATGATTTCTGCTCCAAGTTCCTGCCCCAAATTCTCTCATAGGCATACCTGTAAATTGGAATAAATCTTTTTCCCGCTAAGTTAGGTTTGGTTAGAATGTTTTATCACAGCAACAGAAATCAGCCTAGACTAGTAGCCCAGGCTGACCTCAAATTTGCAGCAAGCCTTATGCCTCAGACTCCCACGTCTTGATATAACAGACACTCCGCCACCACACCTGGCTTATAGTTTCCTGTTGTAATGTTTGTGATGCCTCACTATTTCCAGGTTTTGCACACTTGCAGTGGGCTAGGAACACCCACTAAAGGGGCAGACACGTGATACAGCACAGTAAGTGGTGACACAGAAATGTGCAGGGCGGACAGAATCTAGGTCTGCTGCCCTTTCCGCCCACCGCACCCTAGAAATGCTGCTGTCACTTGCCCACGCTGTACCCACCCTGTGGCAGCTGTTCTAGGAACTTGGGGTGCAGGCCAGTATGGAGGACTAGGGTAGAAGAAGACAGAAGGGTCCTTTACTCATGAGGATGTTAAAGGGTGGAAACCCTGTGGAAATGAGAAGAGGAACTAAGAGGGATCATCATGTTTAGTGGCCCGCGTAGCTAATCCACCACTCTGGAGGTGTATCTGTTCAATGATAGCCCGGTCTACATAATTTCAGGAAAAGAATATATCACCAAAGACTGACAAGAGATTAGAAAGGTTAGAGAATTTGTGAATTGCACTTATGGACAGTGCTTTTCCTCCTAAAGTCTGTCGTCTCATAAGGCACAGAGCACTGTTCCAAGAATTGTGAAGGATGAAGGACCTGTTTTTTCTACTCAAGAATGGTAGGTAGTTGAAAGACAAGATATATGTCTGAAGCAGCAATAACATGGCCACAGTAGAGGCCTAATTATTCTAGAATTTAAGAACGAACATTTGAAACTTCTTAGGTTTTTTTTTAATGATTTATTTATTTTTTATTTCATGTGCAATGGTGTTTTGCCTGCATGAATGATGTATAAGGATATCAGATACCCTGGAGCTACAGTTGTGAGTTCCCATGTGGGTGCTGGGAGTTGAATCCACATCCTCTGGAAGAGCAGCCAAAGCTCTTAACCACTGAGCCATCTCTCCAGTCCCTAAAACGTCTTAGTTTTTAATCTTCATTTTAGTGTGAAAATAAATTGTTTTACCACAATTGATATTAAGGTCTAGTAACTGGGTCTCCTTGTCTTAATTATAGCAGAAGGTAATTTTTTATTCATAGGATTATAAAACAAAAGATGTGACTGATGATGTGAAAAATATCGTAAGATTTGTTCGAGAACACAGTTCATCACCAGGAGCTAGAACTGTAGGTCCTTCTGGAAGATTTACTCTGAACATGCTGGTCGACATTTTCTTGGGTAAGTCCTCTGCTGTATTGTTTGAATTATATCAGTTAAAATTAGAAATCTAAAGGAGTGATTACAAGTGTATTAAAAAGTCACTAAGGTGAGTTTTCAAACACAAAGACTGAGTCTGATCCCTAGAACCTACATAAAGAAATCCAGACTGGCCATGCGTGGTCGTGCCCACCTTTAATCCTAGCACATTGACACAGGGAAACTGTCTCAGGAAAGGAAGGAAAAGGAAAGAAGGAAGGAAGGAAGGAAGGAAGGAAGGAAGGAAGGAAGGAAGGAAGGAAGGAAGGAAGGAAGGAAGGAAGGAAGGAAGGAAGGAATCCAGACTTGGGTTGAGGAGGCAGCTCAATGGATACAGTACTTACCGCAGGAATTATCTTCTTCCCGCCACCCATGTAAGCACCTGGCCTCACAATACTGTCTATAACCCTAGTGAGTGACAGGAAACTCCCAGGAGCTTGCCAGCAGTCTAGTCAAGATGGAGAACTTCAGACAGAGGCTTAACTTTAACCTCTGCTGCCCATATACATACACTCATCTGTTGGCTGCCCGGAACTTGCTTCATAGACCAGGCTAGCTTCGAACTCACAGAGATCTGCCTGCCTCTGCCTCTTGAGTGCTATGATTAAAGGCGTGTGCCACCACTGCCCGGCCAGAGACAATCTTGAATGTGTTAGAAAGATAAAACAGGTGCTAAAACCAGACTGGAATTAGGTGGTTGTCAGCAACCCCGGAGATACAGAAGTGAGTGCGTATTAGTGGAATGCAAGAGGCCCTGACCTGAGCACCCAGAAAGGACCTCCACGTTCAGGGCCAGCCAGGGCTACAGTAAGACCTTGTCTCTGAATAATTAAGTAAATGAACAGTAAGAATAAAAGAAGTAAGGCACTGCTTCCAGTGGTCATACTACATACATACAATAGGAAGGAAGGTGGCCAAGAATCCCGTCTGCAGGTACAAAAACAGTCAATAAATGAGCAGGAGTATATTCATAGCATGGACTGTGTTAGTCATTAGATGTCAGGTGGTAACTCCCGTGGTGGAAGGACTGCTAGGGTTTGTATTCTGTGTGCAGGTGACCGCAGAAGCACTCAAACTGACAAGCCAGTGATGGCCCGACTGGAGGTGTAGTTGAGTTGTAGAGCATTTGTCTAGCATGCTCCAGGCGCTGGGCTTCACCCCACATGACATACAAATTAAAGGTGATGGAAAGGGAGGTTAAGAAGAGCAAGGGTAGAGTAAGATTGTGACTTGCCTGTCCATCCTCATCCTTCTCTCTGTCCTTCCCTCCCTTACCATATTGCCCATGTAATTTATATCATTTGTATATGATAAGATACAGTCAGTCTCCTAATTTAAGTAGTTTCATTTCAGGACATAGTTTCTGTTATAAAAATATAATGGTAAAATAGTCTTTCAAACAAATCTTTGACCACATCTCTGTTAGACTTTTCCTGTAGATTTATAAAAGATCAGCAGCAAGGAGGTAGTGGCACACTCCTTTAATCCCAGCACTCAGTTACTAGTCAGAGGGAAGCAAATCTCTGAGTTTGTGGCCATTCTAGTCTATGTAAGAAGTTCCAGGACAGCCTGGGCTAAACAGAGAAATCATGTGATTAAAAAAATTACTGGGTTAGAGAGTAAAAATTTTTTGTCACACATTCTTCAGCTTCCCACCAGCTCTTACGTGTGCACGTGTGGTACACACCTGACATTCTGTCACTTGGGATGCAGAGGCAGAAGAATTGTCATAAATTTTGAGTCCAGCTAAGATTACATAGCAAAAACCTATATCTGAAATAAATAAATAAAAATTTGTCTCCATCCTTGAGCTTTCTTATGTTAATCTTAGCGGTGGAGTAACTACATCTTTATAAAAGCCTGTTAGCAGAGCAGTGGTCCTGTTCTAGAATGTTAGGGAAAACCATCTGAAATTTCAAATGATGTAATTATTTGACCCTCATAAAGTTAGTCTTCCAAAGTAGCTGCTCATTCTGGTTATCAGTCATCCATGTTACAGGCTTTTAAAAAGGAGAGTTGTGATAAGATTGTGAGCCCAGGCACAGTGAAGCATGCCTGTAATCCCAGCACTGTGAGACAGACAGAAAGATACCACAATTTCAAAGCTAATCTTGTTTATATATTGAATTTCAAGCCAACCAAGGTTGTGTAGCAGACTGTCTCAAAAAGTTTTTTGAACCTGTTGGTGGTGGTGCATGCCTCCAGCACTAGAGACACAGAAGCAAACAGGTCTCTATGAGTTTGAGGCCATCCTGCTCTGTATAGAAACTTTCAGGCCTGTAAGAACTACATAATGAGATCGTGTCTTTAAAAGAAGCAATTAGTTTTTGTTTTCTGAAACAGGGTTTCTCTGACTGTCCTGGAACTCACTTTGTAGACCAGACTGGCCTTGAATTTACAGACATTCCTCTACCTCTGCTTCCCTGCTTCCGGAGTCCTGGGATTAAAGCCACGTGCCACCACAGCCCAGCGAGAAAAAGAGAATGACTTTTTTCAACATACCCTGTCTTTAAAAAAAAAAGTATAATTTTTAGCTTAACATTTAAAATTGTGTTAATGTGATGAGATCACTGCTGTTCTCAGGTGACCGGGGCAATGCAGGCACTTCCAGCTTCACCTCTTTTGAGATCTAGTGAAATGCTACATTTTGGTTTTAGAATTTGTGTATGCTTTATCAGAGTGTAACAAAATATGCAGATTTAAGTATCTACTTTATAATCGAATAGATATTTAAATAAGTAAGACCAGAGATGGTATTTAGAAAACCAATTCAAAGGCTCTCTGGTAGAGTTCTAGCCCCAGCACTGGAGAGCAAAGGTCGATGGCCAGCAAGATGGCTCAGCAGTTACAGATGCCTGCTGCCCAGCATGACAGCCTGAGTTCAGCCCGACTGAGAGAGAAACAACTCCTGCAAGATTGTCCTCAGCTTCTGCAGCATAAGCTGTGGCACGTGTGTGTACACAACGAATAAATACTTAAAAAATACTTGTTAAGATTGGTAGGCTGGGTATGAGGGCACATACCTGTAATTCTAAGTGCTTGGAAGGTGCTTAGAATAGGAGGATCAGAAGTTCAGAGCTTTGAGGACAGCCTGGGCTATCTAAACCCTGTCTCAAAAAACAAACAACAAAAATGTTGTGTAACTCTATCAACAATGCACAGAAATATAAAGTATAACAGAGTGGTATAAAGCTACTAGCACATACATAAATTCTTTATTCTTTGCTCTATTTTTCTAATGCAATTTTATAAACTGTGAATGCAACGTTTTGAAATAACAAGCTAAATTTTGCTGTGGTTTGGTCAACATGTTTTAAAACAAGGAGAAGTAGGAGCAGCCAGGGGCTGGGGTAGAGTACAAGCTCAGTGTGCACAAGGTGCTGGCTCCTTCCCTGTCACTGAGAGAAAGTACATGCAACTACAGGAACCTTGGAATTCTCCTCAGATACGCTCCTAACTCAGAAATGAGGTCTGTTTGTGCTGTGGGGTTTCCTGTGGAACAGATGATCCCTCCTGTTTGTCCAAAGATGTCCTTGAGTGACTTTTTAGCATCTTCTGTATGAATAATGATACAGCTATACTTACTCATCTAAATTTTTTAACCTTCTAGGAAGTAAGAGTGCAAAGATTCAGTCAGGAATATTTGGAAAGGGATCTTCTTATTCACGACACAATGCTGAAAGACTTTTTAAAAAGCTGATACTAGACAAAATTTTGGATGAAGACTTATATATCAATGCCAATGACCAACCAGTTGCCTATGTGATGCTAGGAACTAGAGCCCAAGATGTGCTAAATGGCCACTTAAAGGTAAGGTATTTTAAATGATCATTTTGCTATCTCACAGTGAATGTGCCAGATTATATCACGACTTTAAAGTTTGATGTTCTTCCCTTAGGAGCATATTATGATCTAATTGGAAAGAGATCTTGAAATTGAACCAATTAATATGATATTTGTCAAAATGAATTTGATATTAAAGCTAATAAATCTTCCTATATTCATTAAATAAGCATTTATGGGCTAGCAAGTAGGTCAGGGGACTTGCTACCTGGCTTCATGACATTAGTTAAATCTCTGAGACCAACATGAACAAAGACGAGAGCGGATTCTTGTAACTTGTCTTTTACAAACATACCATAGCGTGCATGCATATGTGAGTGCATGAGCATACACATGCACACAATTAAAGAAAAATTAAGTACACATTTATCAAAAGGTACTCTTGTGTATGTGCCAGGCCCTGGAAATAGAAAGATGGAAAATGTACAGTCCTTGTTCCCAAGGGGGTTTTATACCTTTCAACAGAAAAGAAATACAAGGGTAGGCAATGTGGCTCAACAGGCAAAGGTATTGCCACTCAAGCCTGGCAACCTGAATTTGATCCCCAGAACCCAGGTAGAAGGAAAGAACTGACTCCAGAATGTCCTGTGACCTCTACACAGTCACCGTGACATGCATATGTGCACACTCATGCCCACACAGACAATATTAGTAAATAGAATTCTTAAATAAATTTAAAAAAAAAAGTCAAACACGGAAAGATTGTCATTCCTTGGGAACAAGTGTGCTTCTGCCTGTTCCTCTGATTACTTTCTTTCTCACTAAGGTGGACTTCATGGAAACAGAAAATTCCAGCAGTATAAAAAAACAAAAAGCTCTAGTGGCCAAAGTATCCCAAAGAGAAGAGGTAGTTAAGAAATGTCTTGGAGAACTTACAGAGGTCTGCAAATTGCTGGGGAAAGTCTTTGGTGTTCATTACTTCAATATTTTTAATACAGCTACACTTAAGAAGCTTGCAGGTAAGTGCCTGTGTGCCTTGCTCTTCTGGCCCAGATCAGTGGCCAGAAGTTCTCACTGAAGGACACTGTTGTTTCTGAGACAGGGTCTTTTCATTAATCTGTTGCTGTTGAGACAGGGTTTCACCATGTCACCCTGATTGGCCTGGATCTCACTGTGTAGACCAAACTGGCCTTGAACTCATAAAGGTCTGCCTGCCTTTGCCTCTACCTCTTGTGCATGTGCTGGCATTAAAGGTGTGTGCCCCACTGTGCCATGATGAGACAGGACCTTGTGTGGTTCAGGGTGGCCACAAATGGCTAATGCCCTGGTGCCAGCTTCCTGAGTGCTGGGCTTGTAAGCATGAGCTGCTGCTAAGGGGCTTTGTAAAGTCTTGGTCTATTTTAATTATTTTTGGTCTAATCTCTGGGTTTTCAACCCAGAGACACCACTTAAGCTCTTTCTTGAAGTAAAAATATTTAAGATATATACAGTTCAGATATGCGCTATAATTTTAATCTTGTACTTTTCTGTAGAGCTGAATGTTAGGATGTGAATAATTACATCTACAAAGCCAGATGTCAATTACTTTTTGCTTTCCTTCATGACGCTGAGCTATTTCCGTCCAAGTAGTTTGCAGCGAGGATCTAAACATGAAAGAAACTGTCTTAGGCTTCTTTGAATCTGGATCTATAACACTGCTGTGTCTTTAGTTAAGAAATATTTGCTGATCTGAGTTATTTGCATGGGCTGAGTTAGCTTAACCCAGAATTTCAGTGGTAAGGTCTCTGGGGAATGAGTTGTCATTGACTACTCTGTATCCCTTCTTGCTCTTCCTTCATGAAACCCCATAATCATCACTCTGTCACTTTGCCATCCACCATCAAACCTTTCCCTGTCCAGCTGCCCGCCTCTGACATTCCCCATCCTGGCTGTGGGATCTGGCTTTGGTTTTGGTTTATAGTGCTGTTGTGCTGGGGATTTAACCCTGAGCCCCACTGTTCCAGTACAGGTACTTTTCTGATGATACCAGAAGATGTCAACAGAATCTCAGTGAGGTGTAACCAGAGGACAGCCTCGTGTGCTGTTCTCTTCAAGCACCATCCACCTTTATTTTTTCAACAGGGGTCTAGACCATTAGGAGCGCCAGCTGTCCGCTGACCCCCAGATGTCCTTGCCTCTGCCTCCCAGCACTGGAATTATATGCCCAGCTCTTACATTGCTGCTGGCAACCAAACTTCCATCCTGTGTCTGTGCAACAAGGACAGTACTGTCTGAGCCATCTCCTCGGCTCTCTGACGACATTTCATGTCATTAAACTCACTCTGAGGTGCCAATAACAGGGAGCTTGTTGACCTGCCGACTGTTAATTATTAATAGCTGTAATAAGATCTCACATGCACAAGCAGGAGTGAGCACAGAACAGCTGCGGCTTGTCCAGCAGTGTTCATGAGACACTTGTTGACTTCACAAACAGTGTGTGAGTTAGAGTCGGTGAAAAAGGATAGTTTCCTTGGCTATTAATGTAGTTTCCTAACTGGTCTCTTTAGTTCCAGATGTGAACATAGTATGCTTTTATTTTTTCCAAAACCACTAAACTACAACAGCTCACTAGATACAACACAGTTCTGCCAAAGGGTCAAAGGGTCTGCATCTGCTTGCCTCTCCCACTTCATCTCCCCCTAGCCTTCTTCATGAACCTTCTGCTCTATCCCACAGTCTGTCGCTTTTCTTCTAAACATAGGAATGAGGTGAAAATCACAGATGGGAAAGGATCTGAAATCCATCCTCTGCTCAAGTCAAAAACTTAGGGATTAGCACCCGCTCACTCTCCGAAGCCAGCACTCCTGGCCTCCAGAACAGATCCAGGCCTTCCTAGTCTCTTCCCCCACATCTGACTTGCCCCGTCCTTCTTCCTTCAGAAGCACTACGCACACCTTTCTACCCTTTCCTATATATACAGCAGCCAGAGTGACCTTTTAACCCCAGGCTTGCCCAGCCGTAAGATGTGTGTGCTGTCTCTACAGAGGACTCCAGGCTCCACTTGTCTCACCCTATGTGGGACTGACAGATGAGGAACAAACTGGGGCAGCAGCAGTGTGTCTCTTGAGGTGGAATGTGCATGTCTGCACTGCAGGGAAAGAATCAGAGCTAGGACTAGAATGTGGGTGTTCGCAACAAATGCGGGGACAGCAGTCTTGCAGCTAGACAAGTCTTTGGGGCAGTGGGCAAGAGCCGGGTGTGCTGAAGGCTGAGCACACAGCACAGATCCCACCCTCCTGCTTCCCCCAAACTCACTACCTTGGTGTCTATGCCTTTGCTGCTGGAATTGGATGGTGGCTCCTGCCCCCTAACCTGTTTGCTACATTTCCAGTCTAACTTTGCCTTTTAGAAAACTCCCCATGCATGTATCTGGTGCCCAGCAATAGTTGGGTCTTAACAAATATGAGCCAAATGAGTGGATGCACTTGAATTTAGTGGGTTTTCTATGAGTGGTAATTTAAATTCTTAATTTTATGTCCACACACAGAATCTTTATCTTCTGATCCTGAGGTTTTGCTTCAGATTGATGGTGTTACTGAAGACAAGCTGGAAAAATATGGTGCAGAAGTGATTCCAGTATTACAGAAATACTCAGAATGGACACTGCCAGGTTCAGTATCCCGCCAAACATGTTTTCTAAAAGCCTGTTTTAGTGTTAAGCAATGTATCTCACTGAATTTAATTATGTGATTAATGCATCCTACACCTGTCACACTGGAATCCAGGTTCTAGGAGCAGCCCCTCATGGTGTGCCAGGCACCTCCAAGAGGACACGGTGTTTAGGTCTCCAGGGAAGCCAGTCATTAAACCCACTAATGGAGCCAGGCGGTAGTGGCGCACGCCTTTAATCCCAGCATTTGGGAGGCAGAGGCAGGTGGATATCTGTGAGTTCAAGTCCAGCCTGGTCTACAAAATGAGTTCCAGGACAGCTAGGACTGTTATACAGAGACACCCTGTCTCAAAAAGAAAAAAAAAGCCCACTAATGGAGGACAGATGGGAACCTTTGAGCCCTCAGTCCTGCACATTGTTCTGGTAAGGCAAGTGCCCAAGGAGTCACAGACTCCGGGACCCATTCCAGATCTACCGTCATCTCACTGTGTGATCTTTGGCAGGATACCAGCAACCTCCGTGTGCTTCAGTGGCTTCAGTGTCCTTATCTGAGGAAGGAACGTGTTATCTAACAAGCATGTCTAAGATAACATGTAAGAGTAGGGCTTAAGTGCTTTGGGAAAATGAATATGTCACTGGAACACAAGCCTGACTCAGTGAGGACATCAAAGCGGAGCTTCCCAAGGCTGCAGTAGGTCTGTCCTGTGGTGCCTCTTCACAAGCCCAGCACTGGTGTAGGAGTTGCTGGCTGAGGGGAACTGAGAGAAGGGGCGGCTTGTGCCGTACAGTGAGTTAGCACCCTCAGTAGGGCTGCCGTCTTGCTTGGGAACGAAGGGTTTGTTTGGCTTATGTATCCACATCATAGTCCACTAACGGAAGCCAAGGCAGGAGCTGAAACAGAGGCTGTGAAAGAGCACTGCTTACTGGCTTGTTCCATACTTGACGTGCTCAGCCTACCCTCCTGTACAACACCCCAAGACCACCTTCCCAAGGACAGCTTGGCCAAAGGTGGGCTGGACTCCTTCATCAATCAAGAAAACGAGAGCTGGGCGGTGGTGGTATATGCCTTTGATCTCACTCAGGAGACAGAGAGAAGCAGGTGGATCTCTGAGTTCAAGGACAAACCTGGTCTACCGAGTGAGTTCCAGGACAGCCAGGGCTACACAGAGAAACTCTGTCTTGAAAAACAAAACAATCTGTGAGTTCGAGACCAGCCTGGTCTACAGAGCTAGTTCCAGGACAGGCTCCAAAGCCACAGAGAAACCCTGTCTTGAAAAACCAAAAAAAAAAAAAAAGAAAAAGAAAAACAAAACAAAACAAAAAGATGCAAATATCTATGAAAATTACTTTCTCCCTTGCAAATGTTTTTGTCAGGTCAGGTTCCTGCTTGTTAGCCTGATATGTGAAGTGTTCATAACAGTTATGCAAAGAAATGGCATCCGTCTGCAAGGAGTAAAATACGGTACTGAATTTTCTGGTGTGTTTATTATTAGGAGACTATTGCTTAAAGATGAGGGATTTGTTGCCCCTTTTTTTTTTTTTTTTTTTTTTGGTTTTTCGAGACAGGGTTTCTCTGTGGTTTTGGAGCCTGTCCTGGAACTAGCTCTTGTAAACCAGGCTGGTCTCGAACTCACAGAGATCCGCCTGCCTCTGCCTCCCAAGTGCTGGGATTAAAGGCGTGCGCCACCACCGCCCGGCTTGTTGCCCTTTTATATTGGACTTTTTTTCTCAGTATGTTTAAGATGGTGAATAAAATCATCTAAGGCTTGTGGCATCCTTCACCTCAGCTTAGTTCAGTGTGAAATGGACATAGGCCTCAAGCAGCAGAGTGGGAACTAAACCTGACATCTCCAGTTGAGTTAAATATTACCACAAAATTTTTTAAGTAATGAATTTTGTCTCTCTTTTATTAAGATTTAATTTGCTGTTTATTACACTTGAGCTTTTAAAACTAGAAATGTTTGATTCCTGCTGAGTTGTTGAATCCATTCAGCGGGGAAGCACCAGGAAAGCAGCTAATATTGGGCTCCAAACCCAGGGTCACCTGTAAATGTCTGCATTTCCTATTTGTAGCTGAGAACAGCTCCCCAGGCATGAACCACACCAGGAGGAACACGCCAGAGGAGGCTGACGACGAGGAGCCTGTATCTTCTCACTACTTTGCAAATCAAACTAGAAATGAAAGAAAGAGGAAGAAAATGCCAGCCTTCCAAAGGCCCAAGAGGAGGAGAGCTAGTAACGGTGGCTTCAAAGCAAAGGGGTATGGTTTCTGATGTCCTCTGCAGCATCAGTGAAAGGGGAAGAGAGCAGAGGTGCACATAAAGAACATATTTAAATTAGCCATGATTAGGTAATGGGTTGATGGATAAGACCCAAATCAAAACACAAGCATGGCTTCAGATTTTTAAAATAATCTATTTCAGAGTTTACAAAAATTTCTAAAACTTTGACCTTACCTTGGAATTTTTGTTTGTTTTTAGGTAATTGCTCTTCTTAAGGTACTTTTCCACCCAAAACACAACTCATACCCACTGAGTAAATAAGTTTCCAGTGTTTGCTATACTTCCTCTGTGACTGCAGGATTCTCTGGGCTCCTGTTCACAGTCTGGCCTTGAATTTGGTTTATAACCGAGAATGACCCTGACTTTAAACTTCTGCCTCCGCCTCCCACGTACTGACATTAGCTACGTGGGCCGTCACACATGGTTTATGCAGTGATGAGATCAAACCCATTGCCTCCTGCATGCTAAACAAGCCGGTCAGCCCAGCTACATCCCAGCCTTCCCCCTGCTTTCAGTGACTTGGAGAGGTGGCTCCTACCTAGCCTTAGCAGGGTAGCTGAGAAAATACCACATGGGGAAATCCAAAAGCCAGGCAAGCCAGGTTTCTTTAGGGCTGTGTAAGTGGCTTCTGTCTTCCCCGCCCTTCCCTTTGCTCGGCTTTGAGCTACAACATGTCTTCACAGGAAGAAACAGGTAGAGTGGCCAGGTCTTGGCAGAGGTTTGTTTCTTCCCATTGGACCATGTCCACCAGCCCCTCTCCCAGCCTCTGCCAGGTGTCCTCCACCTTCTGCCCTGCATCTTTGCCTTTGATTCAGATATGGTGGCCCCACAGAACTGCGTACTGTAACAGACTTGCTTAGACACGAGGAGGCAAAGCTGCAGTGACTTTTGCAGTCTCCTGGGTGATAGAAACAAGGTTAAGTGGGAGAAGAGAAAAGAAGGCAGTGTCACCAAATTGTCTTTTCTTGTTAAATCCATAAACAGACTTTCTGACAGAGTACAGAATTAATAGCCTTCATAAATGGTGGCTTGATTTTGTGGTTTTAAGTGCGCAAGTGGCCATCAGATACTCTTCAGTGGGGACGTTTTCTCATTTCCTTCATTTATTCTTCTCCCTGGAGAGACGCTCGTTTCCTTGGTTGCTCACAGAGCAGGAGACCTTAAAAAGCTTCTGGTCCAACCCCGTCGGGTTGAGGGTGGGGAAACCGGCCTGGCCTGCGTGGGAAGGTGGGATTGGACACCGGCTGACACAACTGCTTGAGCGCTTTCCCTTCTGCCTGTCTGTGGACACTGAAAGTGTGGGCGATCTATCATCTGGCTTTGCTTGTTAGAAGAAAGGAGGCCAACACGTTCACTGCTGCCGGCTCCTTTATTTCATTTTCACAGCATTTGTTTGTGAGAAAGAAGCTCTTTGCTGTGTCTCCTGGAGTCTAGTTTAAGGACTAAAACTCAAACCAGGCATGAAGGGCCGTACCTCTAACCCTAGCACGTGGGAGGTGGGAGGCAGGAAGATGAGAGTTCAAGGAAATACCGAGTTCAAAGCCAATCTGGGCTGTGTGACACCTTCTAGAAAACAAAGCCAACATCATAGTATCCTACAGCCAGCACCAGTTTCCATGCCAGGTGTAATTAGTCTGTGCCTTCCAGCTTGGTAACTAGTCACTAGCCGCAGCGTCTTCGCATCTGCTCTGGTACTCTGGGTTTCACAACCCACCCCTGAGAGGGTTTCCAGCCCCCACACTGCTCACCTGTGCAGTGGAAGACTGCTTGAGGCTCCTTTCCAAAGCCCTTCACCCCATCAGACCACTGGGGCTCACCTCTCCAGAATGACACAATGAGCCAGGTGTGTTCTAAGCTCTCTGAGTGGGAGGAAAATGGATGAGCCGTTGAAATGGAGGCTGCTGTTGGCAGATTCGTTCTGTAAATCAACATAAACAGCAGGTTTTTGCTCCGGGCTTCATTTCTCAGCAGGAAGTCAGCATAGGGAAACTTTAGGCTGCTTCTCTGCCAGATCTGCAGTGAAATGCCTTCCCTCCAGCAAGTGGTTTAAAATGTTGAAAAACTCTTTACCTAGTCCCAGCAGTGTGCCCTGGAATGCCATCAGCTGCCCTGGATTCTGGAACTGATGGTGGACCTCAGTGGGTTTGCAGAGCCTCTGAAGGGGCTGCCCACTGTCTCTGTAAACCCACTGGCAGGGTTGCTATGCTCAGGTCAGCAAAGAAGTGATACACCCGATTCAGCTCAGGCTATGGCAGGGCCCTCCTCCCTGTGTGCAGGAGGCAGTGAGCAGGAAGACTTGGCAGGTCTTTGGGTGTAGCTGCTGCCGGCTACGTGGCCCAGACACATGCCAGACCAATGCATGAGGCAGCTTGGTCCCTCCCTACAGAGCAAGATCCATGTTGTGCCTAGGAAGTGGCCACCCAGAGGCTCTGCCCATCTCCACTACCCACAAAACTGTGCCAGTTCGCTAATTCTAGGGTGTCTTGTCTGATGGCCAGAGATTTGGGGTCTTTTAGAGATGTCTTCACTTCCTCTTTTGTCAGAACAGATCTGGAGGTCTGGCTGTAGGTTGTAGAAGGTGTGACTAGAGAGAGGGTCCGTAGTGGTCACAGCCCATAGAATCGAGTCACTTTAGAAAGGGAAACTCACTCTATCTACCCTCCGGATTTCCAGGCAGAAAATGTAGACAGACACAAGACAGAAAATCATGCTCGTTTTCCTAGCAAGTTAACAAACACCATTAACTCGGTCTCGTTTAGCATTTTAATTTTCTTTTCTTTGCCACATTTTAGGGGCTTTACTACAAGCAGAAAAATGTCTTCTAAAAGTAAATTCTCTGGTGTAACTGGATCCAGCTCGGCCTCGTGTGCTTCTCAAGCAACATCAGCAGCAGCAAGTAGATTGGGGATCATGGCTCCTCCGAAGCCTGTAAATAGAACGTTCCTGAGGCCCGCGTATGCATTCTCCTAACAGCCTGTAAATAGAACATTCCTCAGGCCTGCGTATGCTTCTCCTAACAGCCCCTCTCAGCACACAGGTCTTGTTTGTCGGCGTCTGACCATCTGCGAGCAGAAAGCTGTTAGTCTTGTTACACCATTTGAAGTTTTCACTTCTATTAATATTTAAATGTATCTCGTGTGATAGTTCTTATTTTTAAATAAACATTTTCTTTGCTGCCACTGCAAGTGTGGCCATTGTTTCCCAGAGCATCTGAAGCAGTGGCTGAATCATCTAGAGAAATTCTGAGTGCAACGTGACACACTGGAGCCAAAAGAAAAGGCAGCATGGGACATTGTGAAACTGTAGAACCTCTTGTGTGAAACAGCCTCAACAAAAATCAAATGATAGAGAAAATAGAAAATATATTACATAATAATTCCTATAATATTCAAAGAGTATAAATCGTTAAGAGAAAGTCAGCACAGAAGACAACAGAACAAAGGCTGTGGATAGACGAGTCTCCCCAGAAAATTCAAATGGCCCACAACTATGTGAGAAAGACTCGCTCTCCCCAATTAAAAGTACAAATTAAAACATGAGGTGCTGTTCTTTGTCTGTCAGATTGTCAACAATAGGGCTGGGTGTTGTGTCACACAGCCAAACGTCCCAGTGACGCCAGAGGCTGAGCTAAAGGAACACCTGAGCCCAGGAGTTCAGGACCAGCCTGGACACAGATACATTCCCTTAGGAAGGCTAGTGCACGTGCCTTTAATTCCAGCACTCCAGGAGGCAGGGCAGGTGGATCTCTTAGTTTGAGGCCGGCAGGATCCAGGATCCAGGACGGCTGGCGCTACACAGAAACCCTGTCTCAAAAAAGAAAGCAAAACAAGCAAACCTGACAGCAACAGCAAAAATACCTACCTAGTCTGTCCTGGATGGAAATAGCCAATAGACTCTGCTTACAAAAAAAAAAAAATGTGTTAAATATTGATGTGCTTGCTGGTTTGTCCTGTGTGCAGTGTCCAGCTCCTGGAAGGGAACTTCAAGCCTTCAGACCACTGTCCTGAGACCTCAGCACTGAGGTGGGCATGTACCTATGCTGAGGGACCACCTAGTTCTTACCCCCAGGAGCCTTTGGCTGTTTACTGGGGAGACTAGTCAAATGAGTTAGCTCAGAGCTATTTGCTTAAAAAGCCTCCAGAGCTGGCAAGCCGTGACTCCAGTTGGGTCGAAAAGAGGGAACAGAGAACCAAGTAACCAGGGTCACCAGGAGAGCTCTGGTCTAGACGAACCTAGCATTCTGGAAGGAAGGGCTGCTGCCACCTTTGCTCTAGGCTAGCTGGGTTAAGAGTTCAGGGTCATCCTCAGCTATGCCATGAATTTGACCACAGCCTGGGCCACATGAGACCCTATTTCCAAAATAAAAGGACAGGACAGTTCTCCCGACCTCCTGACTGGGGCCCAGAGCCTGGGGACTTTGATTTGTCCAGAATCTAATAACCCCAAGTGGCAGAAACAGACTCTTCACTCAGCTCTAGGGAAGCATTCTAATTTGGAACTGTTGGAACTGACATAGAAACCGCAGCTGCCTCCTTCCTCTAGCTTGGCCTCCAGTCTGAGCAAATACCCCAAGGAATGCACCAGTCTGTGTGGGCAACCCCCAGAGGAGGCAAGCAAAGGCAAGTGACAGTTGGGCTGATGAGGACGCTCTGCACAGCCATTGCCTAAGGGAAGGCGAGAGACAGACCAGGCCACCAGGAATGTCTAACCTGGGGCCTTCCCCTAGGAACACTCATCAATCAGGAGGCTCGACGCCTCAGCTCTGGCCAGCATCCATGGAGACCCTTGGATTCCAGAGAGCTGAGGCTGACTCCCCTGATCACTTCCAGGGACAAATGACCTTCTGGAACAGAGGAAAGGTCGAGAGCCAAGTCTACGCCAGCAGCCAGCCCTGAAAAGCAGCACATCATGGTATCCTTTTTATGTAGGAGCAGATTTCAGAAAGGTTATATAACCTGCCTGAAGACACACAGCTAGGAAGTGGTAGTAAGTTGGGTAACCGGTCTCTTGCTTGCCCCGGATTCCCAGTTTGCATCTGTTTCCCTGGTGTAATTAACACAGCCCCCTTTCGTTCTCAGAAGTGTTCCAGTTAGGACAGTCAATTATATGTGATCCAGGTCTATGTGCTCAAGAATCTCTGTTCTTTCTCTAAGCACTCCCAGCCTCCTCTTCCAGCCCCATTTTTCCAAAGCCTCAGGGGCCACCTGCCCTGACCTGTTCTACTCCCTTGCAGTAGGCTCCAGGGAAAGCCAGTCTGCAGAGTCAGCCAGCACAGCTGAGCTGCAGCTTCTCCGCAAGAGGAGATGAAGCCCCAGGACCCAGCTCTTCTTGAGAAACTGATACACCTCCACCTCCTACCACAGCCTGGGAGAGTTCCTCCTTCCTTAGAAAACTCCAGAAGCCTGGCTGAATCTCTTCTCTCAGCTCCACAACCATGTAGGTAGGGGACTTCTATAGGCCTGGAAGCCCGACTTCCAGTCTGCTTGAGGCATCTAGGCAGAGGGACCATGGCCTGGACAAAGTCCCCTCAGAGCTCTGACAGCCTCATAAGTCGACCCCCACAGCCTCTGTATAACCTCCCTGGTGGAGACCAAAGAGGCAAGTCAATGGGTCTCACACAGGAGGCACTTCCTGCATGACCCTGCAGGGTGCTGTGGTCCCTATGAGTAGCTCCTGGACACTCTGAGGCAAGGGCTCAGTATCTGCAGTTAAGCAGAGCAGAACAAAGCTCCAGGGAGCAGACTGCAGGCTTGGGCTTCCAAAGCAGTCTCCTGCTTTTTCTCCTCTACTTCATTCAGCCATGCGTTCCCTGTTGGGCGGGGAGGGGGGGGGG